TTATATTATAATAATATTATATTATATTATATTATATTATAATAATATTATATTATATTATATTATAATAATATTATATTATATTATATTATATTATATTATATTATATTATATTATATTATATTATAATATTAATATTATAATAACAAACGTTAAGTAATAGTTAAATTAAAAAATAAAAATTTTCAAATAAATTATTCATTTTTATTTTATAGTTTATGATCAAATATTAACAGTAACATTAATATTGTTAGTGCTCGGTATTATTGTGTATTATATTATTGTGTGTTATATAACATATTCGTTAATATTATAAATATATAATAGTTAATGTATTGTAAATTAATGCAATGATTTCGATGGTAGCACATACTCATCTTTGTTTCCAATAAAACATCGAACTTGAAAAGTCGAAGAAATTAGTTCAAACAATTATCTTGACTTTTAGTTATATTTAATAATATAATTTGATTATAATTAATGAATTAATACAACATTGTAATTTATTAATTAATTTTGCATTTTTCTTTTTTAAAATATGATTTATTACTTATGATTATTGTTTTTATCATATCATTTTATTTGCGTAATCAAGATTATTTTATATCTGATATATGATTTCAAATATACTAAATGCAGTACAAGAAGCGGAAGAAACAAGGATAAAGCAAGGAACAAAAGAATGAGTATAAGAAAGATAGAAGCAGAATGAAAAATGATCGCATTAAGAAGCACAAATGCCAGTAAAACGTCAGGTTACAGATCAACGCGATATTTGCTTCATCGTCGACTTGTGAGGTCGCTCTATGGCAATTTTGTAATTTTCCTTTTTCCCGCCATTTCTTTTACACCTTTATATACATATAACTTGAACATTGCATTAGCTACGATTTGTCTTATATGTCTATCTTTTCTAGTGATGTAAATGTATATGTATATATACATTTCGTTAAAAACATTTTTAATAAATAAATAAATCGGTTGTTAACGTTTACAATTGTATAGACAATATGAAAAAAAGATTATTCTTATTTCATTATTTAATTATAACTACAATAATATATTTAAAAATCTACTTATAATACAATATCTTCGTATATGTTATAGATTGAATATAGATAGAATAGTATAACATTATCAAATCATATTATTTGAGTATACTACTTTTTAAGGATGTATAAGGAATTATAATTTTGGATAAAAATTTTTTTGAAAAGTCAATTTTTTGATTGTATAAAAATTTTACTAAAGATCATTTCGTATGTTCTTATCTTTCTATTCGCGTTTTAAGATATTAGAAACCAATGAACAAAAGATTGTACTACATCAAATTCGTTGGCATGCGCAGACGGCCTTTTTGCTTAGCGCGTTCGTGCGCGCATTGACTTCTCGATGGGACGCCGGGATATGGAAGGCCGCCGCGGTAGAAAAAGAAGTAACGCGAAAGCTCGTCAACGAGAATGACGCTCTCTGTAAATGATCACGAGTACACTGCCGGACAGTTCTTACCTTTTTCGAACAATCGCTTGCGAAACCGGGCAGTGCGACATGTTTATCAGCTTCACTGATCGTTTTGCTATTCTTAATTTTTTTAATGTCTCTAAGATTTGAACTTGAAAATAATTTGCAGAAATCAAATTTTTATATTTTGTTTGAGTATAAAGTGATTTTTTTTTTTATAAGTAACTATTAATAAGTAATCGAGTTAATTATTCGAAAATAAAATTGCATATATGCAATTTTAGGATTGAATGTGTTTATTGGAATAAAAATCAGTTTATAAATATCAAAACATTATTATTGTATTATATAATTATTTACAATCAAATAGTCTTTCAATTAAATTCTTTGTTTATTAAAATCTTTGTATATTTTTTAATTGATTAGTGAAATAAATAAAAATATATAGCATTCATAATGAATATAATTCAAAATGTTTACAAATATATTTAAGCATTTACATATACGTAACTTTATCAACAATATAAGTAGCTAATGAAATTCATATTGCTATTGTTATTTATTTTATATGGAATATAATGGATTAGAAGAGAACTATCATTGGAAATAATTTAATTTTTTGTTCTACTATTATAAAACATAATGGGCTTGTTGGAATACACTGTTGGGAAACGCTGATACAGACTGAGATAGATAGAGAAGCGTTAATATAGAAGAAGACATAAGAAAGCATGGAGAAAGAGACAGTGAAGAATTAGAAGAAACGAAGAGAAGCAAAACCCAGTGTCCATTCAGCAAGCACCTGCTACGTTAAATTCAACCAGGCCAGAAATACTGCTGGATGCTTCCTTCGAATTGACCAATGTGAAACAGAAAGAAAGCGAGATCTGTTCAAGTAGAAAGTTGAAGAAAGAAACATTGAGTTGAGTGGTTATGGCGATAGAGGGGCAGGAAAGTGGAGGGGGATGAAGACGCCGCAAACAGGGCTGGAGAGAAGGAGGAAAAAGAAGGAAGAAGAGGCGCCCTGTAGTTACATCTCTTTTACATCACTCGTTGTCCTGTTCGTCCTTCCTGACCGCGTGTAGACCGGACTAAAGAAAATAAGTCGAGATATCATGCTGATGACTCGCTTCCTTTTCGTTTGTTCCTTCTCTATTTAAGTTTCACATTGATTGATTAAAATTGTTTCATTTCTTCTTTTTGATTTTATTCAATACATTAATATAATGATATCTTTCATTACATTTAAATTCATTTCACAAACGATGTGATAACTTGTTACATTTAACAACTATTATCAACGATCTTTCTATATAGATACTTAGTAATCATTAAAGTATGGCAGATACAATTAGAACTTGAATATTTGATTGTTTAAGAATACCACGCATAATTAATATTGATTCGAAACTTAAACTATACTTATATCTATATTAATCGATTGTAATCAATACCAATTCATAATACTATAATAATAACAATATAATTATTGACAATATCATGCATTTAACATATAATATCAGTATCAACAATTAAATCAATACTACTAAATTGTATAAATAATAAATTATAACAAATAATTTATTATATAAATTATAATAAAAGAAAAACTTATAATTTTAATCTCATCTCTATTATTATTCTCCTCTGTTTTAAATTTAATGTGTTTCCAAACAAAATCGGCAATATTAAAAGCATTTTTTATTGATTAAATAAAATACTCGATGGCTCTTTTATGCATTATCTATATTCTTTTTTTACTATTTTTTGATAATAATATATTATTATAACGAATAGTCACAAAATTATTCAGTTATATGTAATTGCAAAATTACATTTGTACACATAAAAGATAAAATAATAAATACAAGGTAGAAGATGGTAGAGTGAAGAAAGAAGAAATAAAAGATGAAGGAAAATCGTTGTTACCTGCTGATTCTTACAGCAGATAAAATGCATCGAAATCATTTCTGAGCATATTTTTCTACTGAATTTCACATAATCATTTCAACAATGTGATTCTTCTCACATCTTCCCGTTTTTGTTTATATTTATACATATTGTACTCGTTTTCAAAACTATTTATCCCATAGTCATATAATAAATCTCTAATAAAAGTCGCTTCTTTTTATTCATATTTGTCGAATGTATACTTTGGCACAATTTTGTGCTGTGTTTTGTATGTATGTGCATTATTGTATACATATAGTATATGTATATGTCTCGAATAAATAATTATAAATATAAAACATTACAAAAACTTCACTAATCTAAGAAATATTAATATCAGTAATGGTAAACTGATGATATGTTCACGTAATTTCATATAATATACAATGGTGTAATGATGTAAAAAACAATGGATAAATTATCCAACATTTTTTTATAATTACCTTGAAAAAATTTTCTTTGTCCAATTGAAATTTCCTTTAAACTATTTCCAACCAATTCGTAATATATTCTACAAAAGAAAAAATACTATTTTTGAAACTAGCTAACCGATAAATAATTTAATTTATATCGTAATTAATGATAATAGCACAAACATTCTTTTCTTTCCCCTTTCCATTAAATACATGTGGCTGGTTGGTTCCAGGTATTGAAATCAACTGTACCTTCCAACTGTTATCTAGGCAACGACCTTGCCTCCTCTCGTTCTCTATCTCTTTCTTTCTCACTTGCTCTCCAGTATTGGTATCTTCTGTAGTGCACGTATGTACTTATGCGCAAGGCAAGTTCATCGGTCTGCTCGGAAAATCATTGACCTTGCAGTTCATCGTTGCTGGATTCCTCCAGTTCCTATTACGTCGTTCACTTCCCGTTACAGGCAAATGAAAGCCAGCTGGCTGCTCGGGGAAAACGCGTTTTTCCTCGTTCCGTGAATACTTGGTTGTGTAGGATACCTTATGAGAACAGTAACATTGTGTTAAAATAGAAGGAATCAAGGAAGGCCTACGATTAGTTGTAATGGTTAATACAAGAGGGCTCTGTTTCACGTTTAGTGATCTCCACGTTATAGGTTACAAGGTTGCAAAGTCGCTTGGTATCAAACTTTCCATAATGTTTTTTGAAAGTATTTTCTCTTTTCCGTATCAAAAGAAAGTATTATGAAATAAAAGGACGCGGAAATTGAAAAGTTAATTAGTGCATTATATTACAGAGTCGAGCGCACGGATCGAATCTCGGGTTTCAAAGTGTAAATTTCCTGCGTTGCGGAGATTTTTTTTTTTCTCTTCTCGGCACTCCGGGATGCCATAGAGTCGTCGCGACCTTGAAACGAACATGTCATTACTGCTTTTGAAACGTGTATTTCCTTCAGACGAAATGATTGCAACAGTATAAGCTATTCGAGGTATTCGAAAAAAAAAAAAAAATTTCATTATCGAGCTGTTTCGTAATAATTAATTCTATCGAACCGCGTGCTCCTGTGTAGAAATAAAATTGTTTTTCATTTATTACGAACGTATTTACAAATATTTTAAATATTTGTCTTCTGGAAAATTTGGATTTTATTTATTATTTAAATTAAGCTTTATTTTTTTTTTTATTGTTAATATATAAGAAACGAATATAAGGAATTTTTATATTCTATACAAATGAATAAAAATATTTATTTTTAATTATATATTTTTTATTTCACATTTTATAAATACAAAAAGTAGATTAAAAGTTACGAGTTACTAATTCTTATTACAAAATCAGAGATAAGAGATTGCAACTTAGAGCAATAGCTCTAAATTTGCTTAAATTGAAAATAAACAATTTTAACAATATTAAAAAAATTCTACACACGATAAACACACGAATATGCGTGTTTTCTGATCATTCATCAGCTTTAAACTCACGTAGAAATAAAACTTTTTTATGATAAAACAAATATTATATAATTCGTTTTTTTAAAAAATGTATATATATATATCTCGAAATACTTGTATAAAGTTGTTTTAAATAAACGTTGTTTAAAAAAAATATATAATTTATGATTTGCAATCTATTGCAAATGCAATTTAAAGCATTATTCATCTTTGTTATAATCTAATCAATTTTTACATACTATTTGCAGTCATTTTTAAATTTTCTTTTTAAATTACTATATATATTATGAAATTATAATTATAAAATTATATAAAAATAAAAAATATAAAATAATATATTAAAGATAATATAGAGATAAATTTTGTTGAAATTACAATTGCTTTATAATGTATAAAAAACAAGTATAAAAAACAAGTTTCCGTCACTAGTGAGACGATAAAGAAATCAACAAAAGTTGGCTTGAATTACTCTAGAGCAGCTTTTCTAGATATACAGACAGACTGTTACTAAAATTATTAGTAAGCTTACCGTAGCATGCGAGGTTTCTTTGATGACGAGTGAAGTCCTATACGAGCTAGTTTTATCCAATTTAACAATTTACTGCCTTGCACTGTGATTTTCAATGTATTCACTCTCCATGGTTTCTCTTTATCCTCTCTTTTTGTATTTCCGTCTACTACATTTCATGATAGTAGTTGCCGATAGACAAGTTGTTCAAAACAATTTAATTGTATTAGAATTTGTGACTCCATGGAAAAGGATAGTGGTAAAGTGAGTATACACAATATTATGCTTGAATTATGTATAGAAAACAGAATTGCTTCAAGTTCATTTTCGTCATAATAATATTTTTATTTATATTGTTATTTTTATGACTTGGCATATATTTTTCGTTCGAATATACGAGAGAATATATATTCATATTTGTGATTTGAAGTAGAACGAACAATTTTTTATAAGTATATGTTTAAAATTTAATAATTTAGTGACATTGATAAATTAATTCAAATCATTTAAGTCATACATTTTTCATTGTTGAAATTATTAATAACAAATTCCAATTTATATTTCTTTTTGTATCCATTCATTATTCAAAAATTCATAATCATAATCATAATTATGTATAAAAAAAAAAAGAGAAAAGGAAAAAAGAATAAAAACTATTAACTTCCATATTTCGTAAACTACGTTCACATCGTTTCTTCAATATTATCACGCTCAACTAACTAACCGATTAATTTTACAAAATTCCCAAAGGAGAACATTTCCTCATTTCAAACCAGATGGGGGCCTTTTATCCTGATTTTGGGAACCTCCTTTGGTCAGCATCTCCCTGTCCAATTACTCGAGACATTAATTATGCTTAATTATTGCCCAGACGATCTGAAATAAGCCCGCGTTTTACCCACGTCAAGTTCTTAGGCGCGGTTTAATGAAACGGACGTCCGGTGTGTATCGTTGATAATAAGTTTGCCGCTGTTAAGGGATCGCGTCGATTTCATGAAAGGCGAACGCCCCGTAGAAAGTAATTTAATTCCAGCCGGTGGATGCATGGCCCGGAGACCGGTGTAAATCACATGGTCTGAACACATGCGGCTTGAATGCCGCCGCCATTGTTTTTCGACGAATTCTTCATCGAGCTTAAGTTCTTCTCTAGTAGAAAGTATAAACCGAAAGAGAAAAAAATTATCATTATGGAATTATGTGGGAACAGGGAAATAATGATTAAAAATACGTTATTGAAAAAGGTTGTAAAAATAAATAGAAAAAAAAATATAGAAAGTGTCGTGTGTTCATATCATCGTCGTTTAATGATCGCAAATTGGCGATTTGTTTAACAGTTGGCCATAAGATAACCGGATTCAAATGAAGAAGTTTGTATTTCGTTCATTGAAATCTATTTATTTTCATGCTTATCATTAAGGTATGAAAATAATACTATTATATACTATTATATTATTTATTTTCATACTTACTATTAAAAAATAAGAAAGTTAGTTACAGATGGAAATTTAACTTTCGCTTGGTAAAATTATACAAGTTCTTCTCATCAATTCATATATGTATTTGTTCTCAAACAATAACCGGAAAGTAATGAATAAAAGATGAAAATTTCAGTATGTACGTAAATCAAAGTGATTGAATGACGACTTTAAATGTGTTGGTAACTATTTGTGCGGGAGTAAACGTTCTTGAATCCGTGTGCTAACTTACGAATGATGATTATTCTTATACATTTTATTCTTCGACCTCATAAGACATTTCTTATTAAAATATCTTTATATACATATATTATTTTTTATCGTATCATTATATTATTATTGATATTATAAATTCGGTATACAAGTTATATTTATTAATTAATCCAAAATAAATAAAATTCAATAATTTTGAATTGATAGAATATTCAAATATACACATGACATGATTTTATTATTTTATTTTATGATTTTTTAATTTTATTACTTTCATATAGATTTTTTATTTTTCTTTCTATTATTGTTAATCGATTGTCGCTTATTAAGTGAAGATCTTAAGGAAAGTTTAAAGCAATTTCCACTTTCCGTAGTTGAAGAACAGTTACACGAACATATGCACATATAACTGTTACTATCAAAGTGACGCGCGTCAGGTTTCACCGGGTATATTTCAGAATTACTTGCACGTGCATCAATCGCAAACAAGAGCCAACTTAATTTTTACCTTAAAATGTCAAACGGCATAGAAAAAACAATGACACATTGTTGCTCTGTTGTGTTATTCTGTGACTGATTCATAATATACAGTAATTTTAGCTTTCAATAAACTTTCGATTTATTAAACGATCGATCTTCCATGTACACACAACATCAATATTAACGATTTCAAACTTTGCATAATTTCATGTACATCCACGTAATCCGAAGTCTTTGAATTAACAAATAATTAAGATCAAAACTACAATAACATTCTCATTCAAGATCTTCATTCAAAATATAAAAATAACACGTACAAATGTAATGTTATATAAATTAGGAAAAGTATAGGTTATGTACGCACGCTTAGAATTCCAGATTCTGGCAACTATCTAATTCCTCTTCTCTGCAAACGTGGCGCGCACAATCGTTTGCCCCGAATATACGCAATATATGTATATATACATATATTCATGGTCTGTACCGTTTCGAGAAATGAATCGAAAGAATGTAATCTCCAATCTTCATCTTCTACCGATTCGTTTCATGGCTGGATACGTTGGTCGGCTACTCTCTTCATTATTCTAGTGGAGGACACGTCGATTCTCTTACGAAACCTCTCACTTTATACATCGATTTAACATATATTGCTGTTAAGTTAAAGAGAAGCCGGTCAGAATACGCGAGAGGTTGAACTACTATATAACCAAAGTCGGTCGGTAAATCGCATGGGAATCTGTCGTATTTCTTTTCGAATTTACGAATTTTTTCGTTTCTTCTATATATTCATATTTTAGTCAAAATTTATTGGGATGATTCACACCAAAATCTTTAAGAAACAAGTTTCCATTTTGGCTATGTTATAGCTGAATTTGGCAGATAATCAACAATAGGCGATTCATCTGATTCGCTCTTTTCCTGGTTTCGATCGACATAGTCTGATTATTGAAATGAAAATTCGAATATTGTTATTTAACAAAATGGAAACAATATTTGAAACAACATTTAATTAATTTTTAGCTATAATTTTTTTAAATCTTTAAGTTCAACATATTTTTGCATTAATATTACATCTTTTAATATTTTTTAGAATCTCTTTTGTTTTGACTTTTTCAAGTTGTTTTATTTGTTTTATTATATATAAAAATTGATTTTATAAAATCAGAAAAGAAACGATAACAAAAATAATTATAAAATATAAAATATCAAATCAATATGGAGTTTTAAAATTTTTTTAAAAATTATTTAAAGTCATTACTGACTTTTATGACTTTAGTAGTATAGCCTAGTACATTTCTCTGCTTAGTGAAGTAGTACATATTATACAGGTATTATATTTGTTCTCCAGTATTAAATAAATGTGTAGAATTGTCGTGATCTTTGTCGCGGTAGCGCATGTGCACGCGTATACTACGTTTACAGAAATTCCTATAAAAGAAAAAGAAAATGTTCTAAGGTTGAACGAAGTCAGTGTGACCAACGAAGGGCTGGACATACGGAATGCGAGCGGAACCCGTTTCTATGAGTCAAGTATGGCTATTGACAACGGTCTCTACTCTATTTCTCTCTCTCTCTC